ATCAAGCATACAAGGGTAGAAGGAATTGTTAGTAATGTGAACTAACTAATAGTCAAGTCGACCTCAACCTGTTAGCAAGTCAGGTCGAACTCCACATGGTTCCTCCTGGAAACCATCGTGATAAATGCCAGATGTATTCTTCACGATGTGCTAACTGATCTACTTTGTCATTCTCACCTATCATCCACTGGTGCCCCGCCAGCGTATACTATTAGCGTCGGTGGGATTGCCATTTCATTATTATTCATTACAAACAAAATTGAGCGTACAATCTAATTTATGATAAACTATATAAAGAAATAGACGTATCTACATCTATTTCTTAACGATTTTTTAAAAAAGAATATAAAAAAAATTCGAGATGGACAGCATGCACATGATATTCCAAAAGTAAAACTACACTGGAGTTGATACGTATCGTATTATGTTAGTGCTTGTCCTGAAGAAATCTTTTAATATTCTTTTTTAGAACCTGTTACGGGTGTCTAGTAATAAACAAATATATCGACAATTATAAACCTTAATGGTTTAAAAAATCTAAAAGGGAGTTTTCAAGGGTGCATAATAAGTTTGAAGTAGGCAAGTTACTCTTTTCGCTCTCAATGTTAATTTGAGGCAAGAACTTGAGTAGAAATTATAAGATTAATACTTAATTGGCCTTCACTGTCGTAGAAATATTCTTCACGGATTATGACTTCAAATTTATTAAGTCAAGAAACAAAATACCGGCAACAGAGCGCGGTTCGAGCGTTCAGCAAATTGGTTAATAAATTAAAAGCGGCAGTCTCAGCACCGTCGCCGACAGATGGCGCCTGAAATACGACAGGTATTTAGCGTGTTGCAACACCGTCCGCCACGATCCACGTTTTAATTTTATGCTTTACGAGCAATTTTTATATCAATTTTCTCGCGTCGCAGGTACCTATTCTACATAATTCAGGTACTTTGACGGTGCGATTCCCGAGGTCGATACGCCAATTTGCGTCAAATGCCGAGACAATAATTTGTTTGTTCTGGCTGGATATAAAATTTGTTATGGGCTTTAAAAATGCTTTTTCTGCATTCAAATTGTCATGGATTGGATAAACTATAGAATAAGAACTGGTAATAAAATATATTTAAATTACTATGTCTCTCTCATTCGGTATTACAGTTGGGATTATATTTTATTTTCAACATTATAATCTTATACTAATAATTTATTTTTGTCTCTCTTTAATAATTTTTATTTACTCTCTACTCTTTACAATAAGATTAACTGTATTTAGATTATTGTAGTAATACAAATTACGTGTTAACACTCCATATTTACCAAGCCACTTGGTAAATAAGAAGTATTCACACTAACATAAATATTCACTCGATCTAACTAAATATTAATATATTGATTTACTGTCAATTAACTATAAAATAAAGGCAATTGGCAGTTATCGAGTTACGTAGCTACAACAAGATAGAAATATCGGGTTCACTGTTAAAGGACTTACTGCTTACGTCAGTTATAACTACCAGGTAGCAACTACCAACAATAAACAGCACTACACGAAACGCATTCATTAAAAATAATATCCATTAAAATTATTTTGACAGTTGTATCACGTGGCTTTTTATGTAAATTAGGATGAAAATTTTTTACATCAAATTCAAAACAATTATTATATACAAACATAAAAATTATACAAAGTATTTAACATTCTTTAAGTAATAATAATTATTACCATCTTACATCTTCTCCTTTTCTCTCTAAGATTTGAAAGAGACAAGACACAAAAATGTAATGTCATTAAATTAAAATTTTTGAAAGTTTATGATAATCTATAATTATCTAAATAATATATACTTTATCATATTGTTACGTAACTATCGCCTCCAAAATTAAGACCAATGTCATGACATTCTATTAATTGAAATGTTTGCGATAAATACACACTCTTTTCTCTATCCGTCGTATATATAACTTCTGCAAGTTAATAAATGAAAATTTTCTTTCATTCTATATACAATAACAACTTGAATTTGTTCTACTTTATAGTTTCAAATAGCTTTTCTAACTTGAACGTCAATACAAGGGTTGTTAACTGTCATTTCTATTATTAGAATTATTATAACACTTCTAGGTGTATCGTATTGTTGAAGAAATAGTTATTGAACTAATAACTAAATTTACATCCATTATATAATTGCAAACAAATGACGTCCCAAAGTTGACTAAGATGTGACAAGGGCAAATATAACTCGATAAGTTAAGCACCTCAGTCCTCAGTAACAACTTATAAGGGGCATAATACGTGTCACAGTGTATTTATTACGGTGCTATTTATGTCTATAGAAAATGCTTATCACTTTACATCAGGTAGGTAATTGTTTTTACAAGTCATAAACTTAAAACGATAATAATCTATCAATATCCCACTGGTGGACATAGGTCTCTTTCTCTTTTAGATCGTAGAAATAAAAAAACGTAGGGTGATAAATAATTTTTGTTTTGACATTTATACCTGTTTTCGTGCTTTCAACCAAGTAGTCCTAATTGGATCATATTTTATGAATTACACTGCTTGTTGGTGTTTTTGTAATAACAAGACAATGAATAAGGTTGCGTTATACGCCTACCCTTAAATTACAGGTTTGGATACAATAAAATTATTGTTTGGTATTTTCATCTTTGTACAATAATTTGTAAACGTCATTTTGTATTATTTGTTGGGTCTTTCCATAATTTGATAAGATGAGCGATATTATTTATGAATGAAATACGTCACTAATTGACAGTAGTTAAATAGAATAATTCTATCGATATAATGTTGGAAATCTTTTTTAATAGAAATGTCGTAATTGATTTATTAAAGCATAGCAGTTATTATTATAAATATAATAATATAATAAAAATTCGAAATTTTAGAGTTACTGTTCTACGATTCTTTGCTACATAAATTTTTTATTACTACTAAATAATGACAAAAAAATTTTTTTTACATTCGAAATTTCATAAATTATTTATATTATCTTATTATCATATCAGCCGTTAACTGTCCACTGCTGAACACAGGGCTCACCCATAAGGGGAGCAAATGTTTGCTACGCTTGCTAGGCGGGTTGGCAATCACAGTCAGGTTTTTGGTGATGTTTTAAGAGAGATCTTTCTGCTCATCCTTCGACCATTAAGTTTAAGAGTTGCCTCTTACTATACTCATGGGAAAAGAAGGGGCCTATTTTATGTCGGGACTACACCACGTTCTGTTTTTTTATATTTGTATCTCAAGATTTAATGGTGGAAATACAACTTTTCGGACGCTTTAAGTTTATATCGAAGCGATGCAAGAGCGATGAATTAGTTAAATAAGATCTTATTAAGAAACACAAACTAATCAGTCTTAGATGTAAATTATACCCACTGACCAAATAGCTAGTTACAATCTTCTTCAATGTAGTGATATGTCGAGTCAGCATTACATGGTATTCGAGTACTTTGGTACTCGTTAAAAATAATCGAATGTTGAGTCGAGTCGGAGAAGTCAGAAGTCAGAGACTCGAGTATTTGTATGAATATTCAAATACTTCATTAGACTAAAGAATATTGTTTTCATAATACAGGAGGCAAACGAGCATGTGGCTCACTTGATGGTAAGCAATGACCGCCGCCTATGATCACCCGCAACACAAGATGTATTGCAGGTGCCGTAAATTTAATATTATTAATCAATTCATAATATTACGTATGTTTATTTCTGAGAAGGAAAAAAGGCAGAGTGTTGATTCTGTACGGGCAAATGCAGTGTAAGACGAGCACCTATTACTCGTAGATGTAGTGACGACCTCAAATGCATGTAGGGAGTCAGCAGGTGGCTCAGAACCGTAATCTGTGGCAGTCTATGGATGAGACCTATGTTCAGCAGTGGACGGATAATGGCTAAGATGATGATGACGATGATTTCTGAGTAGGAGGGCTTGGTGATCTAAGATACAGGCAGCTTGCTGCCCAGTTTAAATGTCGGTCTCCCGCAACAATATTTAATGTTATTGTTGTCAATTGAATTGTATTATGGTTGTGATGAAAAAAAATAGAAATGATTATTATTATTAATTAATTTCTAAAGTTTACGTTTAATAAAGCTGATATATCTACAGTCATTTAACAATATTATAGTAAGTAGTTAAAAAAATTATATGTATTTGATATATCTGTGAAATATAGGTTTTTGCATTTTACGCATGAAAAAATTATTATTTCATTCTTGTGCCACCTACCCACTTCTATCTGTTCTCCTTAGATTAACCAAAGGTTGTCTGTAGGAGATTACCCTAGCAATAAGACCGTCTTTTGTACTTTTATGTTCATATTTTAATCTGTATTTAATATTGCATTATTATATATATATAGATATATATATATATATATATATATACATATATATATGCATAATACAACAATTAATACTATAATATATTATTATAGTATTTATTGTTGTATTTCATTTGAATCGTTTAATTGTCATTGTATATTTTTAAATTTCTGGTGCAACAAAAAGTAAAATAAATAAAGAAAATTAATATTTCCTTTGGTAATTAGGTTAAAAAATTACTAGACTAGTATTTAGTCACTACTTCCTATGCCACTGCGTTAGGTTGACTGGAAGAAATCTCTTTTAGAGATAAGTCCGCCTTTGCTAACATTGTTATTAACTTATTGTTGTTACTGTATGTTTTTGTGCAATAAAGAATATATATATATTTAGTAAACGATTAGTATTTATATTATTATCGATTTGAGTTTATTGAATACTTATTATTATAATATGTACCGATGTACCGACTCGAGCTGATTTGGACTCGAGTCAGCTCGACTCGGTACATCCTTGTGTCTAAGCTGTCGTGATAACAAGACAACAAAATAGCGAGCTACGTGACACGCCCTCCGTTGATTTACGAGTAAAAATACAACAGTGATAACCTTTGAAAGTACGTGGAACAAGCAGCTTGATAAATGTTTATTGCGAGCATTAAGCGGTGGGCAGTTGCTTGTTTGTTTTTATTTATACACTGGAATTTTATGTGACTGACCCACAACTCTGGTCAATGTCAATATCACTGTTTGTTTAATACTATATTCATTCATAAAAGTTATTATCATTTTTACTAATATTTGTAATTTCAAAAACGCCATATTATTCGGTTTTGTTTACTGTTTGGGCTAGTTTAATGGTGATAATCCGATACCGGTTGCATCGCACGGCTTGAAGGTCGTTTTATCACACAAGAGAGTGTTGTCGCAATCCACCTAAGCGCAACTATGTTCAGATTGATAAAAAAAAAAGTAATATGGCGTTGGCGCGAAAAGTGATGATGGGTTGTTAACAACATACGCTCTGTTTTGTGTATTTATTTTATAATAAAGGACATCTAAATGAAATTCATAGTTTTCTACGACGTAGTATTAATGGAAAACTGATATGTGTGTCATGGACATGTGAAGTACCCGACATCACGCCACTCTATTCAAATACAAAATTTTTGTGTGCTCCGGAGCCCGTGAGGATCCTTAGATGCGCCGTGGACAAAGACAGCAAACCCAGGAGGCAGGTGAACTAGCACATCAAAGAGGTACGATTAATTAAAGTTGTTGCGCACGGCATACCGGTCTAGGAAAGTCATCGTTAACCGCCCTCTCTGCCGACCCTTGGACTTTTAGTTTTTCGCTCATACATTTACACATTTTAAGTTAGTCTCATTAAAATATTTCTAAATATATATATATATATATATATATATATATATATATATATATATATATATATATATATATATATATATATATATATATATTTCAAACTCATATTTTTTATGCTTAGATACTACGGCTGTGGTCGCAATCGAATTTCTATTTAAAGTTATTATATAAATACACAAATCAAATTACTTGCAAAAATCTTAAAGACCTGACAAAAAATAGCATTACAGATTTTTATATTGAGACCTAATATGATATATTTTTTTAAAGAATTTAGTGCGAAGGATTTGCTCTCAATAATCAACGTTTCTCAACATCACAGTAATTTGAAAATAATAATGTACAGTTAAATTTTTTTACAAATTAATAGTATTTGAAGTGTCTATTGTCATCTATATCTGGAATCGGTACGCAAAATTTCTATCCAAAGGCATTAGCGCTTAAATTTTTTTTCTTTTGCACAATTTAAAAATTCACTACGCTAAGTCCTATAGGTTCTGCATAATATTTTGCTCCCAGTATATGCAACAGTTCAAACTTTAGACGCTTTCGTAATTTTCATTGTATAGAACCAGTATCAGTGTCATGCATATTTTATGACTTGGAAATAAACCCACAGTATAGAGCGAACTAGTTATTGAGGTGAACTGATTATTAAAATATGAAAATTTTAAATGTTCAACACATTTAATGTTATTTGTATTAAGATGCTTTTGTGAATATAAAATACTATTTTTTAAATACAATTTTATAATTTTTTCGTTATTTAAACAGTTTGAAATGAAATGAATTAAATATTTACCTATAAATTGAATGAAAATTTTCCCTTTAATCTGTAGCAAGAAAAGGCACTATGAATTTTAAATGAATAAAAAATGCAAATTAATTAAAAACTTATTATAATAATGAGCTGATATTAAATTTATTTATTACCGTATTGATATTGCATTAAAATACTTTCTGCTCATTCTATAAGTTCAACATTCAGCTTTTGCTATCAAGATTTATTTATTACTTTCCAAATTTTGAATTGAATGCTTTTATTGAACTTTATAAGAAACTTATAGGGAAACAAGGGTCGGGTCGCCTCAATCAACTGTCCCATTTATGTCACAAATGCTGCGATTGGAAATAAACGGCTGCGAGGATTTGGTTTACTCGAAATCTTATTTATTACGTAATACGTAAATATTACAATCGGCGCAACGATGTTTACTCATATTATAATTTATGAAAATAAGCTTGTTTGTTATTTTATAGTCAATAGCTTAATCGTTATGAAATTATATGTGCATAGTATTTGGAATAGAGAAGAATACAGGCATAGAATAGGCCACACCTTAAACAGGGATAGGCAGCAGCGTCCTTTTTAAAACATTTCAAAGGCCTAAATGCGGTTGCCAACTCGTCTGCCGAGCATAGCAACCACTAGCAAAATCCCCTCAATAGAGGGCGGCCTATGTTCAACAGTGAACAATTTGCGGCTTATGATGGTATATGGAACAAAGTCGCGGCTACCGTTAGTTATTATAATATTTATAACTCTGTATTTGAGCATTCACGTGGCTTAGTGGTATATTGCCTAAACTTATTGACCTCAAAGTCGTGTTTTTTTTAATATTTTTTATGCGTTTTAGAATGGCAAACATATTATCAATATGTTTGCCATTCTAAAACACATAAAAAATATCTAATAGAAAGTGGTAGCTATTACCTATAGACATAATGAGTATCATTAACATAATAGAGTATACTGTGACACTTATGATACCCTTTATGAGTTTTTTTTTATACAACTTAGAATGGCAAACAAGCTGACGGCCCACCTGATGGAAAGTGGTAACCGTCGCCTATAGACATGAGCAGTACCATGTACATAACAAAGTATACTGTTTCACCCATGATATCTCCCATGCGTTGCCCTTCCTGAGGACGTAGGTGTTATTCCTCTGTACCCAGTAAATTCATGCCATATCCCACCCTTCAAACCGAAACACAGCCATGCAAACAGCTGCTTCACGGTTGTGTTGTGTTGTGTTGTGTTGGTTCGGTGTTGTTATTCTTGAGAACTAAGGTGTTGTGTCTGTACCCTGTATTTTATATGTTGTGAATTTCGCGGTCTGGTGGTCAAGAATAGAGCAGCGATCTCTTAATTTGCCTGAAGATTTCTTGTTCAGAAGCAAAACATGTGTTGTAATATGTGCGTGGGCTGAATATTGATCGGATATTGATGACTAATATGACAAGACGTAAAACTTCTACTAATAATAATGGTATATAATCTGTAAATGTTGGCAGTCGCAAATTTACTAATGGTAGGAGAATTAAATAAAATAATTCTAATTGACTAACCAGTTATATAGATTTCCCCAAAATAACACCTATTTCAGTAAAATCACCCTTTGACGATTTAGAATTTCGATTTTATGTTGTATATCTTGATTTTATACATTTTATTTACGTATATGGACGTATATACAGTGGACAAATGTCTCTGTTACTACAATAGGAATTATAGGGATGACTATTTTTTTTATTTATTACTATTAGTGTAAACTTTCAAACAATATAAAGTACAGCTTTATTGATGTTTTGATACGCAAAGTAAAAATATTCACTAGGGATTAACCAAGATGGTTTCCAGGAAGGACAGCGTCGAGGTCAACCTTGTAAACTACTAGTTGACCCGGCAAACGTTGTTTTGTCCCCTATTGCCACCCAACAAGCTCATATTTAGGGCCCTGAATCAAAAAGATATATAAGAACACTTATGGTGCGATTTTGTCCGTTTGTCGTAGTGTCTAGTAATTATTAATGCTGTTGATTTGAAATTTAGAATAGGTTTTGATATTGTCGGCCCACACATATTGCAATGGAAATAACAAGAAGAGTAAAACGACAGAATTCATAGAAAATTTACAATAAAATTAGCTATGAGGTTAGGTTTTTAGCCACAGTTAAGGCTTAAAATAAGAATTTCCTAATTGAAGCAATAATTATTATTAGGTTTGTATTTCATATAAACAAAATCAAAAAGGTCATTTTATCATAGATAATATATGAGATAAAATAAGTTGTTGTATTTATATATATGTATATGTATGTATATACATATGTAAAATAATTATTAATCTCACATAAATTCAAATATGTATTTTAAACAATAACTTTTTTACAGATTATTTTATGTAGTCTCAGCGAGTGAGTTCAACTCACATTTGACCACATTTTTCAAGTTTTATCAAGTTGGAGCAATCAAGACATGTTTATAAAACTACTAAAATCGGTTTCTGATATAAGCGAGAATAAACAATGGGACAACACACGTATTGGGATTTTTATATATTGATATTAGTAGCAATTGAAACCGCTAGTTTTTATAGCTAACAAAACCTGCACCCATTCCGTGTGGATTATGAATGTCTGTTAGAGATGAAGAAGGATAATAAAGCGCTTATGAGTTTGCCTTATATGATGGGCATTAGGCAAATCGACCAAAAAGTTCTAATGGTGTTTCTGTACTCAAATCGTTATTGCAAGTAGCATATTTAGAACTATTCACTTCTTTATATACGAGTAGATACATACTATATAAATAATATAACATTAACATACCATAACATTGTATTTGTTACTATTTTTTTGACAAATTGTTTGGTAATTCAGACTTTTATTTGGATAAATTGCAATATTTTTTAACAATTCTTGTATGAGAACTATAAAGATTCTAAAATGTCGCATTTAAAGAGCAAAACATACTAAGTATTTAATAGTTACGTCTAAAATATATATGTTTGTACCTTAAACAGGCACTTCACATGTAACTTTCATTAATTACGTTTATTTAAAACAAATTACATTTTATACGTGAAAATAGTCAGAATATGTCGTATTCATTATTCTCGGCAATTCAATACTGGTTACTAGCGCGGATGATCCATAAACGTAGAATAACGTACTATATACTTTATGAGCATAATCTAAGGATTGACCTAATTACCTATCTCGAAAGGAAGAAGAGATTGTTAGTAAGGGGTTTTTTTTATACCACTGAAGTGGCAAACAAGCATACGGCACACCTGATGGTAAGTGGTTACCGTAGCTTATGAACACCTGCAATACCAGAGGTATTACGCGTGCATTGCCGACCCTGAAGAAACCTCTTTACCCCCCTTTTGAAGAACCCCCTGCTGTAGGGAAAACTTCGGCAGGGAGCTCCTTCCATAACCTGAGTGTAACCCCATTGCTAGTAATACACACCATCTTTGCGGTTCTGCCCGGAAGACATTGTGATTGAATTCTAGATGACCTGATTCATCCTCACCTATCATCCTTTACTGGAGTCCCGTTAGTATATACTGATAGCGAAGGCGGAGTCACTATTCCATTATGATCTAATAAGTAAACTAACTATCTCGCTCTAACGTACATGTTGCTATGTTTGTATTTTTACATTAGCAAACTTTATATTTTTCTTCAAATATATACATATATACTTGTATACCTAAATAAGGTGCGAGCAGTGTTTTGTCACGTTCGTGGCCGACACATCGACTGTCGGACGTGACGTCACGCACCCCTCTGATTTATGAAAGGAAAGTCACAGTCCGCTACGAAAAATGTTACAGCCGATAGCCTTTGTGAGGACGTGAGACCGCGAGCTAAATGAACGGAGCTCATTTTATTCTGTTACTCGATTGATGGGATCATGGGACATTTGTCGTGTCCGTGACAATAGATATAACTCGATAGGTATAATATATAATAATGCCGTTCATTTGTTGGTTTTCCTTCAGTTTTCCCTTTTATATTATCTCTACATATTACATGTTGTAAGTAAATGGTAGCACGAATGCAATATAAATACGAGCAT